GGCGCCTGAAACAAGAAGCCAGGTAGCCGGGGATCGTCATCTTCACCATGACTGACAGACCAGAGCGAGCGCCAAGGGGCCTGGTTCAGAGAGCTGTGGGGATGGTTAATGGAGCATGGCGTCTGAGGGGCAGAGTCCATGGCAAGCCACAAGGGCATTGCTTCTTGTAGTATAAAACCAAGAGCGAGCCCTGGCCGGTTTGGCTCAGCGGTTAGAGCGTCGGCCTGTGGTCCTGAGAGACCCGGGTTTGGTTCCCGCTAAGGGCGCGTACCTCGGTTGCAGTTTGTCCCCGGCCCTGGTCGGTTGTGCGGGTGGCAGCCACTCGATGTGTTCCTTTCACATCGATGTTTCTCTCTCTCTCTGTTCCTCTCTCTCCCTCCCACTCTACCTGAACAAAAAAATGGAAAAATGTCCTCGGGTGAGGATAAAAAAAAAAAAAAAAAAAAAAAAACAAGAGCGAGACTTCGTGAGCAAGAGCCCGAAGGCCGCTGCCCCAATAAAAAGTTGCTGTTTGTGAATCTGAGTCAATCTTGAAATCTGGAATCCACAGACTGAAAAGGTGACTGGGTCCCCAAAGGGAAGAACCCTGCACCACCAGGGCAGGCACACATGGTAATGATCCTTCCAGTCCTTTCCCCCAAAGACCTATGGCCATTTTCTTGAGTGACTGTAGACTAGGGGCAAGGGGATGCCTAGACATTTTGAGGACTGGGGCAAAATTGTCACTGGACCGGGGTTTGAGTTCACATTGATACCCAAAGACCCTGATAGAGTGGGAACACACAGGGCTCCGGGAAGGAGTCCTGGCCAAGCCTAGCGTATGGGGTGGGGCACAGGGCTGCACACCTGAATGTCAGTTTTCAGGTTCCAATATGTAACTGAGATAGATGCACTGAGCACACTGGGTCCTAGGTCTGTGGGTCCACTCCAGCCGAGGTAGAAAACACAAAACAGGATTGCGTCCTGAGGTCAGGGGCAGGTGGTGAAAACTGGTGCCACTCTTACTTAACGAGCCGGAGCGGGGGGCTCCACTGCACCCCACTGAATTGCCACGATGACCCTCAGGACAGCCCACGGACGGCGCAAGCTCAGCGGGCAGCAGCCCAAGCAGCAGCTGCTCTGCTCACACCCTAGAGCCAGTGAACATGGCTTCAGGTGCGTGATATGTGGCCATTCAGTTGGCAAATGCATCTCTTCCCCACCTGAATCAGGAACAAAGATCAGAAATAGTTCATGTTCAAATAGAACAGACAGCAAAATATATTTATCGTTTTTCCCCAGGGCTGAGATCGGGACCCTCTGGATTCTACAGAACGTCACCGTGATCCATAATGTTGGTAACACTAAGCTGACAGGCTAGCGGCGTTGGTGAGGCAGGTGCTCCCGGAGGTGGAAGACAAATCCTTCAAGGATTCAGAGCTGCTCAGCAACGGTTGTTAGCAACGCAGTGGTCAGGCTCATGCTTGGACCTCCCTTTCAAAGTAAAAGCTAGGCGAAACAAAGTGCTGCATCTTGTAACTTCTCGAGCAGGAACTGTTCCGCTCTCTGTAGCTTCCTTTGGGGAGAGGCCGAGCACCCCATGCCTAGGAGGACTGCTGGCCACATCGCGGTCACACGGCGCCTTCCAGCCTGACGTCGCAGCCCCAGGCTGAAACGCAAGCAAGCCTGCCAGGCGGGTCACATGTTCGGGAGACTGTTGTTGAAGGGTGTCAGTGGTGGAAAAGTTGAAATGTACGGTTCATTTCAAAACTCAGGGCGAGTCCCAGCCCACAGGCCTCTGAGTTCTGGAGTAAGGTCACGCACCTGCAGCAAGAGCAGCAAACCTGCAGCCAAGCCAGTACAGAGCACTTGACCAAGACGAGTCATGCACCCAGAAGTCTCCCACAAGCTAGCCCTGCTGGACATCAGGTCATACAGCAAGTGGGACTGGTGGGAACCTGTCATGGGACAGGAAGGGGCGCCTGGCACTGGCCATGAGCAAGCTGTGTGACTGAGTGGCCTGGACTCTGTGCACCTCCCACGGTCGCATCAGTGCCCCCCCACGCAGGTCACACACATGCACGTGTGGGTGGGCGTGGGATGCACACGGCAAGGAGAAACGAGCCTAAGCTTGGTGTATAGAGGGGTCATCTCGGCGTGTGTGAGCCTGAAGCGACGGTGGCTATTTCACAGCCTCCGTCAGGTGGCCTGGAGAGACAATGATTAGGAGGCGTCTTTCTAACATGTGGAGTTTTCGGTGATACATGCTGTCATGTATTTTGTGTTCAAGGGGAAGTGTCCTGAAGAGAGAACATGAAGACTTGTGGGCAGTGGCGAGTCTCCCAGCCAGCGGACAGTAAGCAGCAGGGAAGTCTGCAGCAGCCTGGTGACGGACAAGTGCGTCCCACAGGTTTATCTCAGACCTGGGGAAGAGTATGTGCTCACTGCAGCAGATGGAAGACAGAGAGGCTGTGTGTCACAGTGCTACAAATTACACCTATGTCATGCTGCCAACAAAGGGTGAGGTGACCCCCTGGGTACTGCTATTAGAGAGGGTAACATTTTAAGTTTTAATAAAAGCAAGGTGCATGATATTCTGTAACATACTAACTTGACTCTATAAGGGGAACTGTATGAAGATATAGTCTCCTTTGCTAATATTTGTTTAAACTCTGGAAAGACACATAAGCTAATAATAAGAGATAGAGTACAAGGGTTAGAATGGGATTTTCTAATGTATACCTCCTTTAACATTTAAAGACTTCTTTTTGTAAACAAATTGGAATTTAAATCAAACAAAATTTTAACACAACCAAAGCCATTCATAATGTCCTAACTGTATTCTCTAACAGTGGAGTGATGCTTACATCTGCCTCACCTGTTGCAGACATATCAGAAAACATCCCTTCTCTTCAGTCTGCTTGAACATCTGCCTCCTCTTATTCCCATTCTGATTAACACCTGAAGTGCATTACCTATAGTGACTGAGCAGCACTCAAGAAGGGTCTGGGAAAGACGCAAACTGAAATCGAATAATAATTGTTGGTGGACCTACTTCCTGCCGACCATTATAGATAGTCCGGCTCTTCTGTTCTACAAACAATACTTCTGTTCTTCTCAAGGCTCTCAAATCCCAGGAGAAACAATAGCAGTGACAGCCTCATCCTTCCCGTATCAAACCTTTAATACAGGCTCCACGAGTTTTTCTGTAAATACCAATTTTACGTTTACTGGGGCACTGATGTCTCCTTGATTCAAGTCTGAATTGGAACAGAGTGACCTCTTTCACCTTTGTCTCCTGAAACAGTTTCAAGGCTCTAGAATGCTCTCAGGTTAGAAACCAACTTGTCAGTGTCCTTGCATCATGTTGCTGTTTCATTACCCTTGTCAGGGCGCCTCAGCGCCTAGCAAGGCATTTCAGAGGGGCAGTCACAGACGCACCGAGTTCACCACTCCGGGACGCGGAGGGCGGAGAACGTGGGCTGACGGGCAGATGGGTGTGGCCAGCGCACTGAGGAACACCTGGCGTCGGCGTTCCTGACCGTGAGCGTGTGGCCCAGCCCAGCTGTGCAGCACACAGTCCCAGCCGCCGGAGCACCGCGCAGCTGTCAGCAGTTCTTAGTTTACCTGTTTAAAGAGCACGTGTTTCCTTTATTCTTGTTGGCTGTTTGTTAGGTCTAATTATTATTTAGGTCACTGTTTCAGTGTTTTGAAATGAAGTTGTAAAAACACCAGTAACTCAGCAGAATAATGCTGAATCCTAATGTGTTGTTTTCTTTAGTTCAGGGTAAGGTGGAAGCAAAAGAATAGGTTCTTGTATATTACCTTCATTACATATATATGAATAAATATTTTAGTACATTAGTTTTTTGGGAAAAATGCTAAACATTTCTAGTGCTAACACTCAAATTTCTGAAGGAATCAGAAACACATTATATTTTAAGAAGATGCACTACAATGTGGTGTGTTACCCCTTTCATGGATTAGCTCAGTTCCTAATTCTCAGTTACAGGAAAACTTAAAGCAGGTGCAACGACTGACGATAGGTCTGTAACAACCTATGTACGTTTCAGAAGTTACCTGGCTACATTTGCACTCTGAATCTCTAAGTCTGAGCTGAAGAACTTGTTTTTTTCCCAGAGAAGAGTTGAGAAGAAAAAGGTAAGGTCGAAGGTCAGCACTGTGTTATAAACACTGTCATGTGAAAGTCACAGTATTTTTTCAGTCCAGTGAGTGCTGATGTCTTGACATGTTTACCTCACAAGTAGACAGTGTACTTACAAGTACTCAGGGAAGCTAACAATAAATACTAATTAAATAGAATTTAGCACAGAGGTTGAAATTATAGTTCTTTAAAATCTGAATGAGGTAGAAATGATTTTAAATTTGAACAGGTCATGACACTTATGCACTTCTGAAGCACTGAGAAGTCAAAGACTCTCCTTTAGAAACAGAAATAAAGTACAGTTCTTGGGCCTTAGTTCTTGGCTTAAGGTGAATGTATAAGTTTTCCAAGAAATTATTGATAAGCAGGTAGGGTTCAAATGTCCAAAACTATAATTCCTATGGAAAATTATTTTTCAAAGGAAAAAAGTATCACAAATTTCCAAATCATCAAGATGAGATTTTCATTCTTACTCAAAAAAGGGGGTGCCAAATATCTCTAAAGAATGTTGAGCATGTTAGACGTATGTAATTTTGCTAACACAGAAACAGTAACACATTTCCTATGAACTTTGTTTCTCAGTTTTGATTTTTAACTTTAACAAAACTCCGATTGAGTTTGTTAAGATGGTGAAACTCTTACCAGCTGAGGCCAGTCCTCAGAGGACCCCATCACAGCACTGATGTCAATTTTTAGTTATATAAAAATAAACATACATCTTGACCACACAACTCGAGAAAAAAAAAAAATCAGAACACAAAGAGAAAGCGGACTTGGATTTTTAATTTTTTTAAAGATTAACTCTCTCTATATATTAATAAAAAGTGCAAAGAACATGTTAAATTATATTCTAAAATAAAATATATATTTCCATCAACTGCAGGAGACAACTGGCAAGACCTGAGAGCCAGCCCCTCATCACTACAATGGGTGTGTGTTTGAGGAAGCACCTATGGAAAATAGTGTTCACAACACTTCTGGTAACACGGAGAGCTCCGGGTGTCCTGAAAGCAGTCGGTTGTATTTCCAAGCTAAGTGAAATAGGGGAGACCTGCTGGCTGCAGTGACAGGCAGAGAACGGCGCCCCGCCCTGGGCGCAGCCAGCAGAGTGCGGTCAGAGGGCACCCAGGGCCTGGGCGGGTGCTGTGCGCTCCGTCCCCGCGGACGGGCAGCCCCGCGGACTGGTTAGCACTGGACTTTCATTCTGTTCTGTAAACAAAATTTTACAACACAGCATAGTAACATTAGGCTCTGTTACACACAGCTCATGTTTTTAGCTGATTTTCATTAAAAGGTTATAAAGAAACAAGTGGTTACATAACATCTGCTACTTTCTTATTTATCTATGGCAATGGTGGCAACAGGCTGCAGAAACAATAGAAACTTCTAATCATAAAACAAGACATACAACTCTGAACTTTTTTTTCTTTAAAACACTTTGGGGTATTTCAACAATCCAATTTAGAAAATTGATTTCTACTGTGGCTTCAGCAGCTAGCTACATGCTGTCATGGTAGAAAGGATCTGTTGGTTTTGATTTGGATTTCTTTTATTACCCCTTTCCTTTTTCATAACTGAGAAGAATTTCCATTTTAGAAAAGATATTTTACACACTGTGCTGTAGCGACAAATCTGTGATGCCACGACAGCGTTTGGACTCCTACGTGTCAGTACTGTGCTCGCACTGAACCTAAACGTCAGCATTAGAACAGAGAAGCAGCAGCAATCCACTAGGCCTACTTGTAGACTCAAAGATACATGGTGTCCTCTCTTTTTGGCCTGTTATAAAAATAATTTTGGTTACAATTGTCTACACAGCACCAATTTTATTTCAAAAGAAGCATCTTTACTCAGCCACTCAAATAAATCTACAAGTACACATGCTCAAATAGCTTTTCTCATTTACTTCTGTAACTCTAAAAGACCAGTAATTGTATTAGGTTTTGTCTCAATCAAAACTTATTCAGCAGTTATTAGAACTGCCCGTCACAACAGCCTGGAAACACCCGCACGGAACCAACGAGCAGCCCTGACGTGCAGGCGCGGTGGAGAACTACCTGCAGCTGACCGACAGTGTTCTGCAACAACAGAAGGGACCGGTCTCATAGTAAAAAAGCATTTCATAAAACTTTATCATATATAAAATATCTTATTGTGACCACTCCACTTGCGATTAGAATAACACTGAGTGTTCCCTCTGCTGTCTGCTGTGGGTCAGGGTCACACAACCTCAGAAACTAAGGGCACGTCTATTTCCCAGGCTGACACAGCAGAGGGCTCGGCTCCTCTCTCCAAACTGACCGTACACACACACACACAGCATCACAGTGTCATCTTCACGACACCCAGCCACACGCTCTTCCCACTTCCAAAAATATGGCAGAAAATTCTGATTGCGAAATAATTATTCTCATCTACACCCAGCCTGGGTCACCACAGCTCGACTTCTGATTGTAAAAGGTAAAGTTGGCAGCAGTAGGCGAACAGGCCTCATTCGTCATCTCAAACCCTTTGGTCTCTACCCTCAGCGTTACGGTGAACGGAGATCTGACTCAGTGGGCCTGGGTCAAAGGCTTCACAGATACTGAACCTGAAGTGCACTAGGAGAATAAATACCTGTTATTATGGCACAGGAAAAATGAAAAAGCAACAATAACAAACACAACAACATATACATGAATTTACAAACCACCTAAAACCACCTACAGGTTTCATAAGAAACCTGTAGGAGCAATGGAATCATGGGAAAGGTCAAAGCATCAGCAGGACCGCGACCCTCCGAAAGCACGCCCTCTGCACCCGCTCTGCCGCTCAAGCCCCGCCCACACACAGGGTGGGCGGGGACAGACACAGATGAGGGAGACGCAAAGAATGGACCAATGGAAAGACTTCGGCGCAACTAAGGAACTAGCTCTTAGAGAAAAGTGCTTTAAATATGCTTCTGCAAAAACTATGACTTGGAGGCAATTCCGAAGTTTTGACACTTATACTTTACTCATAAATGAGTCAGAGCTGTTCTGTAGGGGCAACTAAATTAAATTATAAAACAGAAAGAACTGCTCACGGTGACATCACAAAGTCCCGGGGAGAGCTGGCGCAGGCTCCCTTGATGATGATGCCGCTCATGCAACGTGCTCACGCAGGGCCCTGGAAGGACGGCAGGCAGGGCCGCGCACCCCTCCCGCGCTGCGGCTCCCTGCCGCCCGCCCCTGCACGCCAGGCAGCCCTCTACTGGGGGCTGCGGGTCAGGCCTCTATTCCCAGTAGTCTAAGTCATGAAGGAAAAGACAGATCTGCGGAAATACATTCAATAAGCCCAGAGAAGAAGCCCCGGAACCGGACCCGTCCCCTGCGTGACCGCGATGACTGCTGTGGAGGGTGGGGAGCACTGGGACGGGCAGCCACACCCAGCGAGGTCGGATCTGCCGGCTGAGGACAGCAGCAGTTTTCCTGGGGTCTCCTCTCGTCCACCTTCTTCAAGACCCTAAGAGTCATAGGTTATAACTGAGTACCTGAGATCAGGGTCAGGTTGAAAATGTTCAAAACACTTTAAATTATTTCAAAAGGGAGAAATAAAGAAAAAAACCAATCACCCAAGTTGAGAAGTTAATCATGGACAGAATAAACTCTCAGTGAACATGTGCTGACACAGATCACAGTAAAAACTGAGCCAAACCACGAGGAGGGGGGGTGGGGAGGGCCGGAGCACTGCGCCCCCCAGAGGCCCCGAGACCGTGTCTCCTGCCTGACCTCTCGGATGCCCGCCCAGGGTGCGCCCCGGTGCGCCTGGCGATCCCAGAGAACACGGCCCGGGAGGCCCGCACCTTCCCCGAGGGAGGGCGCACAGGCTGCGGCTGCGGCAGTTCCGCGGGCGGAGCCGCACAGACCTTGGTAAAAGTACTCAACAGCCCCTACCCATTCTGGGGGAAAAGAAACACCATCACTCTCCAAACCTTAGCAAAGCAACATAAAACAAAACAATCTTCCCCCTCCTAAAGAAACCGATGGAAACAGATGCCCTGCGAGAAGTCCTGTGTGTGTCGACAAGTCTGGGCTCAGAGGTCACTTTGTTTTGGATTCCACGTAAATCTTGTCTCCGTCCCGAATGCCGAAGGAGTGCACGGCCCGCGAGCTGTGCTTCATCTCCTCGGGGCCGAAGGGCGCTTCGTGGTCAAAGTGGTAGAGGAGCATGCTGCTCGTGGGCAGCTGGACCAGGGTCTTTAACTGCTTCTTTAGCTCTGCCACTGTTTGGTCCAGACGGATGCTCATTTCCTCCACCTGATCGTTAAAGTGGACTTCGACCTTTGCACTGCTCTGGGGTCTTAGATCCACTTCTGCCAAAGGCTCCAACTTCCCATATTTTGTGATCAGTTCGTGATACCTAGAAGGATAAAAGGACAGTGTCAGCTTAAGCCACTAGCAACTGAAGTACAAACTTTTTCACGACTGCTGGTAAATCACACTGCAATACTCAACATTTCCTAATACCCCGTTCCAGTGTTCTATCTGTGCACCTGTCTGACGACCACTGCGGACTGTGGTCTGACATGTGGCCCTTTTGAGGTCACAACAAAACCACATCCTGTGGACAGAGTTTCTCCTCAAGAGGGTCACCACGCCTGCTGCTAAGCATCATATGGAAACAGGCTTAGAAAGGACAGTAGAACCTAGAACAGAAGACACTACAAAGATCAGAGAGGAGTCCAATCTGTAGACCTTGCGTTCTGGGTGTCATCATGCAGAAGGGCAGAGATGCTCCCTGGAGCAGATGGGAAGATAAGATGGAAGTAGCCAGCAGCTCTTGGGACCTGGAGAGTCAAAACTTACAAACAAAAACATCTAGTTGTATGTTAGCTGCTCACCCAGCTCTGCGGCGATGCCCTGTTTGACTGTCCCAGCCTAGTCTGATCAGCTACAATACAAGGAGTCTGTTCACCCAGCTCTGCGGCGATGCCCTGTTTGACTGTCCCAGCCTAGTCTGATCAGCTACAATACAAGGAGTCTGTTCACCCAGCTCTGCGGCGATGCCTTGTTTGACTGTCCCAGCCTCGTCTGATCAGCTACAATACAAGGGGTCTGTTCACCCAGCTCTGCGGCGATGCCTTGTTTGACTGTCCCAGCCTAGTCTGATCAGCTACAATACAAGGGGTCTGTTCACCCAGCTTTGCGGCGATGCCTGTTTGTCCCAGCCTAGTCTGATCAGCTACAATACAAGGGGTCTGTGGAAGAGTCAAGGACAAATTCTTGTACAAAAGTGGTGAACAGGGGAGACAAGTTCCTTGATCAAGGCAGTAGTGAAGAGCAAGATACACCAGAGGAGAGTGAGTTACAGAGGTGAGACTAGGGTCCCAAGGTCAAGTGTCCCATCTGGAAAGTCTTATTTCCACTATCAGTCTGATTTTACTGAAGAAGCTGAACAGTTTCCTAAAAACCAGAGAAGGAAAAATGCTAAAAAGATCTGATATTAGCTTTATTAAAACCAAGACACCGAAGGTTACCTCGTGGTCAGAAGACGAGGGCCACGTGAGACCATTCCCCCACCTCTCCCAGCCTCCTCTCGGCTCTCACTCAGCTACACCAGCGCCACGTGAAGTTGCTGGGAGCACCAGAGCCACAGTGAGACAGCTGTGGCCTGAGAGGGAGGCAGTCATTTCCACAGGGAAGACAGGGTGTGTGGATGACACTGGCCTTGGAGTCACAGAATGGGATTGAGTCTTGACTCTTCTTACTGTTAGCTGCGTGACTTGGAAACTCACTCAAACCTTTTGGATCTCAGTTTTCTCGTTAGTAGAATGGGGATAATAAAGTCTGCATTTCCTACCTTTTAAGATAGTCTTAAGAGTTATATGAAATAACAGCTGAGTAGTACTTTATAAATTACCACTTCACATATAAAAAAATATATATATCAATATTACATTCTTGCTGTTCTAGAACTTACATTATTAAAACACACACACCCCTTAGAAAATATATAACTGAAATATACTTAGACAGAACTTCTTGAAATAGGTGGTGTTATGATGAAGCAGCTTACAAAATCTTCTCCCAGGACTTGAGTCCAAAATAGTATTTTTTTAGGATAAAGAAATCATCATCAGCAACTAACAAAAGAAGAGAGATGGTCAACCAAAGGTTGTCATCACGAATTCAATGCCAACAGGCATTGATTCAGTGAAAACGGCTCAGCTGTGAAAAGCTCAGCTGTGGAACAGCACGGCTGAAACAGCTCAGTGGGAAACACCTCAGATATCTGACAGCGCAAATGGAGCAGCTCAAGGATTACAGCCCCAACACTGCAACCCCAACATCACCCTCCAACATCACAGCCCCAGCATCACCCCCCAACACTGTAGCTCAGGTCAGGGAGCACAGCCTTGATGGAGAAGGAAAGAACACTCCATAAGACAAGGTGAAGCTGGCCTATGCAGAGAACAGTATCTGCACTCAGTCCCTGATTGGTCCATTTCTATGCAAATAAGGACCCCAAATCTTTATATTCGTCCAAATGGCAATGTCCTGATTGGTCAGAGTGGGCTGCTCTGATTGGTCAGTGAGAATGCAAATAGATATACCGCTACACAGCTCTGACTGGACAAGGAATCTCTCAGGCCTCCTGGTCGCACTGAAGCCCAGGACTCTCTCGGGGTCGCCTCAGGCAGCAGGGCATGTACAGGCTCAGCAGCCCCATCTGTGGCTGTTCCCTAAAGTGCAGAGTGCGTGAGGGCCCTCTGCAAACAATGGCTGCCGGACTCTTGCTCCAAAGCCAAGTCCAATTACCACTCCTACTCAGCAGATATATTCTTCTCGGTCAACAGAGGGAATAACCTTATTGCCACAATCTTTTAAAAGGAACAAAAGCTCTGAACTAGTGGTAAGCTGTGGATGCATAAGATGGATGAGCTTCCTCATTCATCTGTCCAGCCTCTTCCTAGAATGCCTCCCTGAACTGCAGGGCTGAAATGAAAACATTTCCCACGCTCTGTTGCCGATGAGATTAGCTTCTGTCGGTCACATTCAGAAGGCATGGGGAGAGAAATATGATCTAGCAGGAACAACCTGGGGAGAGGGCTTCCTGGTCACCAGCTGCAGCTCAAGCAGAGTGCCCAGGAGCCACTTGCCGACCTCGGGTGTACGGCCCAGCACCAGGACTTTAGCTGCGAGTCCTCCTCAGACGCCGCCGCAGGGGAAGCGGTGCCCTTGGTTGGCCAGCTCTGTGTAGCATCTAGAGGCAGCTCAGTTCTAGGTAGACAGAGCTTCCAAAGTTTTGTAAGCACCTTATTTTCTGTATTAAATTTCTTTCTTCTTAAAATAGCAACTGTGAGGGGATGTCAGGGGAATGGCGGCATGAGAGATTCCCTTGGTCTCTCCCTCTGAACTGTCAGCAGTTGAACAGCTATACCTCAACAGAGGATCCCTTGCTTGATGCACAAACTCGCCTGAGAGCTCCACACAGCGAAATATATAAAGGTGGACACACTGGAATAAACTGGTGGAGAGAAGTGAGAATCCGGTTGTGGCTGGTGCTCCCTTCAGCTGGGAGGGGCAGAGATTCAGTGGGTATTCCTGCAGCAATGAGTAATACAAGCTTCAGCTGAACCCAGAGACCTGGGCGAGGACAGAGCATGGAGATGCAGCCATGGGCCGCGCAGCCTCCTAGACGTGTCTCCCAGGGCCTGCCTCCTTTCCCCCCTTGAAGTCAGGCTGTGAAACACATTACCTGCACACCTGAGAACTAGCACTGCAGAATCACTTTTCCCCTGGGCAAAGAGTGCACTCTGTGACCTGTCCCAGGGTTGGGGTGCAGGGGGAACCCACAGAGGTCTGAGGTCATCATTAGTGGGAGGGCAAAACAACTAAGTGGGCTGGGAGAACCCCCATATGTATGGCTACACAGAGGGCAACGTCTGGCTGTGGAGGACAGCACAGAGCTAAGAAAACTCGTGATCCCGCAGCACCCACGGGGACATCACACAGAGACCTGCCCGCAGTGACCTGCCAGAGAAGCGCCAGCACACAAGTGCTGAGACAGAGGAGCCCACCAGATGCCCTGAAAGACCGAGGCAGCGAGGCAGCTCAGAAAGAAAAGGAGCCGGAACACAGGGAAGGACCTTGTGCCATAGATGACAGAGGATTAAAGACTGCAGCTCTGAAAACACTCGGGATGAGGAAATAAGACAGGCAATTTAATGCACTCAGAACACATTAGTGAACAAAAGGAGGACCTTACCAAAGAGATGAAAACTTTAAAGAAGAACTAAGCAGAAATTCTGGAGATGAAGCACGCAGTAAGAGATGATAATGAACCAGCGAGCACAGGAGATACAGCAGACCAGGGGAGGAAAGGGCTAGTGACATCACAGACGGAAATGACACGGGGAAGAAGAGAGACTTGAGCATGGAAATAAATAAAAGAACTCTGCGAGAACTGTTTGACACCATCGGAGAGAGCAGCACAGGGACAGGAAAAGCAGAAGAAGACAGGGAGAGAAGAGCAGAGAGCCTGCTCAAACAAATAGTTGGCGAGAACTTCCCAAACCTATGAAAAGAAAGAGCTAGATCCTTGAGTCCAACAAGCAAACAGAACACCTAGTCACCTCCGTCCAAAGAGGCCTTCTCCAAGGCACACTGTATTAAAACTGTCAAAAATTAAAGACAAAGAAAGGACCCTTAAGGCAGCCTAGGTAAAGAAGAAAGCAACCTGTAAAGGAAAGCCTACTCGGATAGCATCGGTCTTCTCAGCAGAAACTCTACAAGACGGAAGACAGTGGAACCAAATACTCTAACTACTGAGAGAAATTATCAGCCAAGAATAATATATTCAGCAAAGTTATCATTTAAATATGAATGAGAAATAAAGACTTTTCCAGACATACAGAAGCTAAAGAAACTTATCACCAGAAGACCTTCACTGCAGGAAATACTCAAGGGGTTATTGTACCTGAAACAACAAACAAAAGGTCACAAAACTACAAATAAGATCATCAACAAACTTACAGCATAAACAGGGATAATTTTGACAACCAAAGCATAAATGTCTGAACCAGCAAAGGAGGATGGAGACCAGATACACTCAGAAGAAAAAGGACTAAGTATATATGATGAAACTTTCTTTTATATAATCCTAATAGTAATCACATACAAAACCCCTAAAACTGAACACATAACTTTAAAAAAAAGGAAACAAAGGAAAGAAGTATGAAATACCACCACATAAAAATGACAGAAAAACAAAGGAAAAGAACCAACGGAGGCACAGAGCTACCAGAAAACAAAAGATAAAATGACTGTAGGAAATGCTCATACATCAACAATTGCCTGAACTGTAAATGGACTGAATTTACCAATAAAGAGGCAAAGAGCAGCAGAGTGGACCATAAA